ATATTTGGCATGCTAAATATCTGGAGCTGTCGGCGATTCACAATCACGCTGTGTGAAATTAGTTTTGACTGAAAAACACATCGGCGATGACCTGTGGGAAGTTCGGGGAGGAGTTATATGAAACATAGTTTGCGGAACAGTGTTGCCAAATCCACGATTGCCACCGGTTGTTTTTTGTCAGCAGGTTGAAGCGACCCCAATAAGTGATATTTAGGCCCTGGAATGTGAATTGTACCAGGACAACCCCTCCAAAAAAAATGTTTTATTTACCCCCAAATGAGATTTTTACAGGGGGACCCCCTCAAAAGCAATTGGGCTATTTTCAGGCTAGTTTTGAGTAGTAATTGGGTGGGTTTTGTAGCGAAAACCTGGCAACCCTGCACCAGACAGAGCTGTCGGCGACAACAACTGAATGCTACCCCAGATAGTCGTTCAGTGTGAAACCAACAGTGATGTGACGTCTTTGAAAATCGTGCAGTGTGAACTCGGCATTAAGGGAACGTTCCCTGTAGGTTATTTTTTATTTTATTTTTATAACCTAAAGGGAACTGTAGGTTATTTTTTAGATTTTTTCATAACCTAGAGAGAACGTTCCCTCCAGGTTATCTTTAGTTGTCATAACCATGTAAACTAATTAAAACTTTGCAGATGACTCTGATTATTCTAATGGTGAAATGTGTATTTTAAAAAAAAATCATATACAAACTATTTTTGCAGAATTTCATGTCTGAAATAAGCTTTTAATAAAGTGTAGACATCAAAGTAGTCAAATCGCATTATAATGATAAAATAATTACTACTTTATAGCTGAAATTAAGCCAAGGTTAAGTGTAGCCTGAAAAGCATATCATAAACACTGGGTTTGTGTGTATCTTTCTTTACCGCGCGCCTCTGATCTGCACGCGCTTCTCTCCTGTCTTCTACATAAAGCCGCGCACACACACGCATAATTTTAAAATGAACAGCATTCGTTTATTGATCTCTTCATTGAATAAATACTTATAATTAATAGATACATGAGTAAATATTGTGATTCCAGAGAGATTTGACGCATCTAATTAAAGAGAGAACATGTTAAACGAGAGTTTTTTTTTTTTCTTTTCTTTTTTTTTTTACTGACCAAAAGAGAGAAGCACGTCATCGTTAATTCAGTGGTAAGAAATGAATGTAATATTATCCTACTTAAAGTCAAATAAATGTTATTCATTTTTAATGTCTGGAAAAATTTAATTTACATTTTTAAAACCAAATATTTTGTTGAAGTCATTGTTATTTTGTGCTTAAGAGGCGTAAAGTCTGGGTTATTATATTGTAAATGGTAGTTATAATAAAGAACGGATAATTCAATCTCATTTAATGCTCCTTATGATGGTTAAATGTGCTCTGATTATCTTTAATGATTAAACAATAGTTTAAAACAAGACATGGTTTGTAGTACTGATTATTGAGGTCCATATCCGTCCGCCTTCCATACTCTACGAGATGCGGGGGTGCTGGATGATTACTGACGTACAGCAGCGGTATCGGAGTAAAGAGGTTAGGAGAACGTTCTGGGAACTTTCAGAAGACATTCTGTTATGCCTTCTTTCTTTGCGTGAAAAGTTGGGCGGTGTTATGCAAATCTTCCCACATCATGAGGTAGATATGTGGGGGCGTGTTAGAACGAGACGTTTTAGGTAGGTGTGGCTGACTCTGAACTTTTATAAAGTATATCTCTTTGGATTTGAGACTTTAGTCTTAGCAACTTTACAGATCTTCTTTATGCACCAAGAGCTTGTAACGCTCCAAAGAGAAAGGAAAAATTGAAATCACATCATATGACCCCTTTAAAATGCTAAAGCAAAACATTTAAACTTTTCTTACGTTATCACAAACATTCTAAATTAAAACTTACCATTGACAGAAACGGTCAGCTCTACTGCCTTTTCTTTTGCATTTAAATCTTTATTACAAGCAATCCTGCGGTTCATAAAGAACTTTAAGAACTTTAAAATGATTGCCTTCTTTATCTAACTGTGCACTTTTCCTTTAAACCTAGTCAAAAAGCCATAGCCTATGTGTTGACTGTGAAACACAGTAGACTTTATTTATATGCATTTTACTACATTTTTGTGTTAATGCATGTTCATATTTACCGCAAACAATGTGCTGTTACTTCAATTCAGTGCTTGCAGCGCAGCAAAAATAGACTCGGTGCGGAAACGATCTCTGCACTGCTGCAGACGCACCGCTCCTAAACGCACTGGCGCACTGCAACCGTGTGTGCAGTGTGAACGCTTTAATCTGGTAACATGAGAGCAGAAAAAATACGCACTGCAAACAAAGTAATATGAACCAACGGTGTGTGTGCGCTGCGAGTGTGCATGAGCGCACGGTCTCTAGGAAAGTGCACGAGTGTTAAATGGTTTAAACACCGACAAGAATTAAAAAGAGAAAATGCCATTTATAAAATTTAGTGACAATGCGACACTGCCTCGATAGTGCGAGTGACAATTCGTGTGTCAACTGTGCAGCATGCAGCTCACTTATAGAGTAGACACGATGTGATTTGAATCATTTGCATTTTGAGAGAGAAAGAGAGCGCGCGCGGTGTTTCACTCACGCTGTTTGTGAAATTGTCTCTCAGAAACTTTTTCAAATTACTTTAAGTTATTTAATGAAGAAATATGAAGGTGAGTACATTATAATTATTTCACCCACACCGGACCGAGACTGAGGCGGCGCCGCTGCATGTCGTGCCAAACGGCAGCGTCATCAGCTTGAGATCGGCGTTTTTAGAGACCGCCGATCAAACATCCCAAAGCGATTATCGGCCGATAGTGATTGGTAGCCGATCAATCGGAGAACCCCTAATTATAACATCTCAAATACTAAAATAAATAAAATGTGTTTTTGCATAATTCTTGATGAGTTTGATTGACAGCTATGTTAGGCAGTGTTATCCAGGCCTGAATTCGTGTGTTTTCACCCATTTAGTTAACCTATTTTGCAGTTGTGTGTTATAAAATGTTAGCAAAACAGCAGCATTGCATAATTCTGTAAAAAAAACACTTTAAAAACTCGCACTGATGCGGGAAAGAACCCGTAACGGTAAGACTTTTCAGTTCCGAGTGGCTTATCCAGTTCTTTCTAAAGCCGGGAACACACTACTGTCAGGCCGATTATGAGTGTCATTTGAGCTCAGTCAGTGTTTAAATTCATTTAGTGTGCGGTGTCTAAAGAATTTAAGACTAGCTGTTGCCAGTCGTCTTCATAAAGATTATTTTTATAATATTTACGACTGACACTGGGGACTGACTGCACCTGTTTCCAAATATGAAGGTCTATTAACAAATAAAAAATCCCAAACATGACATTTCTGAATAAAATAAGTTTATACACTACAATTATAGCTAATATATTTGAGGAAATATGACGAGGAAATACAGGTTACATAAATAGGCTATCTTTGTACTTTTACTGTAGAATGATGAAATGAAAAGCAAAATTCACAGATGACATTTTAAATGACTTCTGTTTCGGAATAAATAAAGCAGTATTTGATTTTCTTTCTAACTGATACTCCGGTGTTGTATGTGGACAGGTTGTAGCTACAGTTCTCTTGTATGTCGATGTTGTGTGACTTAAGAGTATTTAGGGATTGGGGCTATTGTGAATGATTTTGTTATGTTGACAATGGGCACGTTCGTGACGTGGTAGTTTTACTGTGCGTATCTTCCACTGTGTTCTACTGTTTATTTTTCAAAAGGATCAAAGAAAAGAAGATTGAAATGACCTGGGCTGCATTTCCCAAAAGCATTGTAAGCCTAAGTAGATTGCAGACCTATTGCCACCAATGAGAAACGCAGCCCTGAATATTGAGTCTGACTCCGTTTGTTAGTTAATAGTGCCCGCTCACTTTTGCCCAGGCCCGCCCAAAAATAAAATTCTGCCTATGCCACTGCCTTTATGTATTTCATTCCATTTTATTAACCAGTGTCTTTGCTGCTCTCCCTCGATGATCCAATTAATAAGCAAAAATTACTTTAGATAAACAATTGTTACCATGGACCACAAAACCAGTCTTAAGTGTCAATTATTCGTATGGTTTATTAGGATGGGACAATAATTGGTCGAGATACAACTATTTGAATATCTGGAATCTGAGGGTGCAAAAAAATCTAAATATTGAGAAAATCGCCTTTAAAGTTGTCCAAATGAAGTCCTTAGCAATGCATATTACTAATCAAAAATGAAGTTTTGAAATGTATGGTAGGAAATTTACTAAATATCTTAATGGAACATGACTTAATATTCTAATGATTTTTGGCATAAAAGAAAAATCAATACTTTTGGCACATACAATGTATTTTTGGCTATTGCTACAAACATACCCCAGCGACTTAAGACTGGTTTTGTGCTCCAGGGTCACATTTGTTTCTTTTTTCTTTTTCTTTTTTGCTAAAGAGTGTTGAACTTTCTTCTCCTGAATCCAATTCTTCATGCAATCCAGAATGGCAGCACTGGCATCTATCTATCTATCGTTCTATCTATCGTTCTGTATGTCCTTTTATATATCTATCATTCTTTCTGATATTGATTGTCATCTACCTGTTGTTTTGTAATTTGTTCTCTAACTCTCTAACTGTGAACCTGTCTGTCTGCTATTGTATCTACTTGTCTGTCTCTCTGATTGTCTGTATAACTCTCTATCTGTTGATTTGTCTTTCGTTATATCTGTGGTTCTTGTGGTTCCTGTATGTCCATCTGTCATTATTTTCAATCAATTTTTTTATCATTCATTCTGTCTGTCATTCTTAGGGTTGGGTATCGTTTTTTTTTTTCCCGATACCGGTGCCAAATCGATACTTTTAAAACCATTCCGGTGCCTGAACCGATACTTATTAAAGAATAGATAATGCTAGTGTTAGAGGCTCTTTTTTCTTTATAAATAAAACAAGTAGTTAGAATAGAATTTGTTTCTTTTTTCTTTTTCTTTTTTGCTAAAGAGTGTTGAACTTTCTTCTCCTGAATCCAATTCTTCATGCAATCCAGAATGGCAGCACTGGCATCTATCTATCTATCGTTCTATCTATCGTTCTGTATGTCCTTTTATATATCTATCATTCTTTCTGATATTGATTGTCATCTACCTGTTGTTTTGTAATTTGTTCTCTAACTGTGAACCTGTCTGTCTGCTATTGTATCTACTTGTCTGTCTCTCTGATTGTCTGTATAACTCTCTATCTGTTGATTTGTCTTTCGTTATCTTTTTATCTATTTCGTTGTCTTTCTGTGGTTCTTGTGGTTCCTGTATGTCCATCTGTCATTTTTTTCTATCAATTTTTTTATCATTCATTCTGTCTGTCATTGTTAGGGTTGGGTATAGTTTTTTTTTTCCCCGATACTGGTGCCAAATCGATACTTTTAAAACCATTCCGGTGCCTGAACCGATACTTATTAAAGAATAGATAATGCTAGTGTTAGAGGCTCTTTTTTCTTTATAAATAAAACAAGTAGTTAGAATAGAGAGTGAAAATGTTAGAGGATCAAGTTTTTTAATAAGAAAAAAATTAGAAGTAGCATTAGAATAGAGAGTGCTAGAGTTAGAGGGTCAAATGAAGATGAAAAAGATGTGTTTTCAGCCGTTTCTTGAAAATATTAAGGACTCAGCTGCTCATTCCACCAGGAGGGAACAGTTAATGTAGAAGTCCATGAAACTTTTATCATAGGTAGAATGCTAAATGTTTCAATACAAGCATTTCAGTCAAATGCAATTTATGCAATATTTCAAACCTTTAACCCATTTGGGAAAATCAACCCATGGCAACAGTTTAAAAGTAGCCCAATTCTGTGGAAAAAACGCGACTTTGCAACCCTGCATCAAACAAGAGCTACCGGAGTCAGCTTTGACTGATCACAGGTCGAGAATAAGGAGAGATTACTGACAAGACCATGCTGGAGTATTTGCTGCTCAACAGATTCTGAGCTCATTGACAAATATCTGGTCTTGTAAGATGTGCTCTCTTTACACAGAGTGCGTGTGATCGCGAAATTGAAAGTGAAAATAAACAGTGCAAACGCTCATTCAAAAATATTTAAATACACCGCATCCTGAGAGCGGCTCCCTGATGCACCAAAATTATACACAATATTAGAATGTTTAAAGGAGTGGACACAAAAATCGCAGGAGTGAAACGCATGTTGCGGGAGCAGGCGGCAATGCTCAGAGATTCAGCGGGAGTGGGATTAAGAAAACAGCCGAATCCAGGACATTTTGGGCAATTAAGAAATCCTGGCCGGACGCATTTTTGTAGGTCCAAAAAGAGGACATATCCGGGGAAAAGAGGATGTATGGTCACCCTAATTTATTGCTAATCGATGTATTATTTTTAAAGTAGCATATGGAATTTATTTTCTGCCTCATTCTGTAACAAGAAGCCTCATCAGATCACAAAAGAAAGCATTTGACTGGTGTTGTGGAGTAAAAAGGTTATAATGTTCTCTTTTGTTGGACAACAGGTTTAGAAATGTGAATACAAGGGAGGTTTAGCTTTAGGCATTTTAATTTAAGCATGTTTAGTTAACGGAAGGTTACCTGCTGCCATCAGAGCAAGTGTACTTACTGCATTCACGCGCTCTTCGGATGCTCCCGCGTTGTGCTTTTAAGTCGGAATGTGAAAACATGGACACTCTCGTTACTACAAAGATGTGTTGGATTTGTGTTATTAGAGCTTTCCGACTTGAGTTCACGTGCATTTTCTCAGTCGGGAAATTATTTTTCACGTGCGGTGCCAGTGATGATGATGCTTACGTCCGTTTCGAAGAACCAGAGGACAAATATTTCAATCGATCGCTCCGGCATGGCACCGAAATCTGCGTTCGGATTCGGTTCTAGTACATACCGGTTACATAGGTACCGGTGCCATATTGGTACCGGCTTTCGGTACCCAACCCTAGTCATTCTTTTATCTGTTGTTAGTTCTGTATATCGTTTATTCCATTGTTCATTCTGTCATCTATCTATCTGTCGTCCTGTGTATTGTTCTGCCTGTTGGTCTATCTAGGACTCTGTGTTCATCAGAGTTGATGTTTATAGCATCCTTGCAGGCACAGAGGGTGGCATGTTGTAGTAGTTCTGTTTTGGGTAAAGCATCAGCTAAATGCCTGCTAACAAAGAGTGTTTGTCATTACACACTGCAGCTCAGAAGTCTTGCTTTTAAGAAGATCCCTCAGAAGTCAACAGCACCTCCCACCACGCTCACGCTGCAGGGTTTAGCCAATGATCTGATCAACCCGGCAGCGGTCCATCACGGCTCCAAGCCCCAGGAGAGCTGGCAGGAGTGGAAACAGAGAGATGCACAGGTAAACCTTCTCACTAAACCTCAGAATCTGACTTTCATATGGCCCATTTCTCTCCGGCTTTATGCAAACATCTTCATGCTTGTGTTTGTCCCAGCTGACCTGTGACTTGTATGAGGCGGATCTGGAAAAGGCCTTGATGCTCAGTAAATTGGAATTTGATCAACATAAAAAGGTACCATATCAGGAGAAGATTGAGTTGAATGACTCTAAAAATGTCATGTTGTGTCAAGTTAAAAGTAAAATCACATTTTCAAAGGTTTTATTAAAGGGGTCATATGATGTAGCTAAAAATAACATTATTTTGTGTATTTGGCGTAATGAAAAGTGTTTATGCGGTTTAAGGTTCAAAAAACATTATTTTCCACATACTGTACATTATTGTTTCTCCTCTATGCCCCGCCTTTCTGAAACGCGTCGATTTTTACAAAGCTCATCGGTCTGAAAAGCAAGGTGTGCTCTGATTGGCCAGCTATCCAGTGCGTTGTGATTGGCCGAATACCTCACGCGTGTGACGGAAATGTTACGCCCCTCACCATACTGTGATGCCCTGTCTGGCCGGAGCGATGATTCAAAAACATGAAAGCCCATTATAAACGAAGCATTCGTTGCATCCAGTGGGGACATAATTATGGATTATAATGACTTATACTGTCTTTTTACACGTTGCGTTGCATCGCGCCGCATAAACATAAAACCACGTCTGCATTTGTGATATGAGAAATTACAAACAACTGCCCAAAAATTCACTTTAAATATAAAAAATATAAAATATAAAAACTCTTTTAATATAAAAAATGTACTTGCAGTCCATGAGTCAGAACAGCCGGCATTGTAGTCTATTCTCCCAGGATCAGTAAACAGTCCTCCATAAAATGTGCTGCACACATCTGAATATTTGGGTTGAACTGTTCTGGAACAGTGTTGTAAATACAACTTAACCACTGATTTCTAGTCGTGTCCATTTTTGGAAGGCCAAACAAAGTAGTTTCGCTTTCACAACGAAACACAGCATCACACACCGCGGGCTTGAGTGAGGAACGGCCGGAGGGCTAGAGTGAGCAGAGGCGGTGGGCTTGTGGCAACCACATGAGACGACCCCGGGCTGGACTCCGCTTCGTTCACGGTTAAAGCCGATCTGGCGATCCACAGCGCGAAGTTGTTGTATTTCCTCAGCAACCAGCACAGATCAGCTCTAGGCATGACGAAGCGGATATCGTCCTCTTTTGGAAGGCCAAGCAAAGTAGTTTCGCTTTCACAACGAAACACAGCATCACACACCGCGGGCTTGAGTGAGGAACGGCCGGAGGGCTAGAGTGAGCAGAGGCGGTGGGCTTGTGGCAACCACATGAGACGACCCCGGGCTGGACTCCGCTTCGTTCACGGTTAAAGCCGATCTGGCGATCCACAGCGCGAAGTTGTTGTATTTCCTCAGCAACCAGCACAGATCAGCTCTAGGCATGACGAAGCGGATATCGTCCTCTTTTGGAAGGCCAAGCAAAGTAGTTTCGCTTTCACAACGAAACACTTCATGACATGGCGGCGGCAGCAACAATACTAAAGCGAGAATAAAAGTTACGCCGCCTTTCTTTGCGTGAACATTTGGGCGGCGTTATGCAAATCTTTCCACATAGTGATGTAGATATGTGGGGGCGTGTTCGAACGAGCCGTTTTAGGGGGGCGTGGCTGACTCTTAACTTTTATAAAGAATATCTCTTTGGATTTGAGACTTTAGTCTTTGCAACTTTACAGATCTTCTTTATGCACCAAGAGCTTGTAACACTCCAAAGAGAAAGGAAAAATTTAAATCGCATCATATGACCCCTTTAGTTCACACGTACCATTCAGGTTTGTTATTTTACAACCTGAACTGTCCTTGTCTTCTCATAAAAAGGTCAAATTATCTAATATTTTAAGACGCTTTGCCCACGATCTGCAGGAGTCCAGGAGCCAGTAGGGTTTAAAAAATCTATATTTTTCAAAGATTAAAGAAAATAATATAAGAAGATCAAATATTATACTTAACTATTTAAGTTAGAGAGGAAGTTTCAATTTTTTGTTTTTGTTGTTTATATTTTTCACATCATATCAGGACAGTTATATTATCATTACATTTTTTGACTTTTATGCCTTAAACTCCACCCCAAAAAATACAAATCAATATACAATTCATTAAAAAATTAAATCAAAACATGGGACAAAAATGAGTGTCATGTCATTGCCCCAAATATCAAATATTGGTGTGATGTTCAAAGTAGTCAATACCTTGTCATGTAACTCTTTTATCCGATGAAGAGGTGGACAGGGGAAGAGCAAGAATCAAAGTAATGGTATAACTGAATATCATATAATCATCATAATTCACCATGTGTTTTTGTGTTGAAAGTGGAAAATTATTGCTCCACAACAGTATCCTGTGAGCTTGAAGTGGAGACCATCTCCTCTCTAACCCACGATAACGATACAGCACACAGTATAGATTCAACTTTAACAGAAAACAATATAAAATAAAAAGTAAGGCATAAATGGATATACGTACAATATGAATATGAAATGAAAAACTAATGTGAAACTGAAAATATATAGAAATAACATGAAGTACATCACAAATATATATAGAGATCGACCGATATATCGATTTACTGATATTTTCCCCGATATTTAAGCATTTTACCATAATCGGATATCGGTTTTGTAATATCGGATTCACCGATAAACGCCATCTTGTGGGCTTTTTGAGAATTGCGTGCAGGATCGCCATTGCAGCGCGTCTGAGGGGAGAGAGACGACAACAACGGTGTGCAGGTACTTGATATAGTTGCTATAGTTAGTAAACTTTATTTAACATAGCCATTTATGCACAAATTAGATGCATTACATAAATGTCTGATATGTAGTTTATGCAGCTTGGCTCTAAGAAATAGAGACCAACTCACGGAGTCACGTAAGATAATCCGTCAAGTCCTGTCCCAATAGAGACATAACTTTGCCTGAATTAAATAATATGCAGCCATGAATAAGCTCATGTTGGAAATAAAAGCGCTGAATTGAATTCTCTCTCTGTTGTCTATGCTCATCGTTAGTCTCGTGAAGTCAGAGTCCCGTAGATAATCCGTCAAGATCCTCTCCCAATAAAGACGTAACTTTGCATGAGTTAAATAATACAGCCACGAATGAGCGCATGTTGGAAATAAAAGCGCTGAATTGAATTATCTCTCTGTTGGTATATTTGCTCATCATTAGTCTCGTGAAGCCACTTTTATATTGCTGTTCGCTCACCGGGTTGATGCTCAGGATTCACTTGTTTAAAACACCCTAAATTGTATTAACATTTACTATATAACCATTATTTCGCTAATAAACATCTAAATAAATACAACTCTATGGAAATTAATTATTTATTATCTCTGTGAGCGATCGCAGTTTTAGTTATAGTTCTGTGTAATGCATAGATAAATCGCGCTGTCAGCAGGCATTTCATAATCTAGAACGACAAAAACATTAATAATTCTGATATAAAATTCCAGTTGAGAAATGCAATAAAATACAATGTTTTGTTTGTTACATTCCAGAGAATATTATTCAGTGAATTAACATTATCCAGTGAATTATTCTTCACTTTAGCCTATTAAACAGCTTATAAACCTACTAAAACTGTAGTTTAAAATTGTTGAAAAAAGTTGATATGACTCCTGTCCTTTATTTATTTTCTCCATTTGAAAACGTTAGACATTCTACATTTATTTTGCTTATTGTTAATGTGTTGTTGCTGTTGATGCTTTTTATAAATAATGTTTATTATTGTTGTAATATAAAGATTAAATTTAACATGAAAGACTGCTAATTTTCAACACTTAAAAAAAAAAAATGACTGAAAAGAGGAAAAACCAAAGTGAAGTATGTTCTTACTTCACTCAGTCATTTATTTACTTTATAACAGTAAATAAATATCGGTTCTGCATATCGGTTATCGGGCACATACATATGCAAATAATTGGCATCGGGTATAAAATATCAATATCGGTCGATCACTAAATTTGCTTTCTTTATGCTGCACACACGCAGGTTACTATTAAGAACTTCATTTAGATCCTAGTTAGCTCATTCTCAAATGAAACAATATTTTTCCTGACATAATGATTTGTTTACCACCTACCACATGATTATACTTGGGGCTGTGCACGTCGTCCTGAAATGAAGCATGTCAGTGGAGTGTATACATTGTACACCTGTTGATGAAATGTTTGTTTATATTTTGAAAGAAAATGCTTAAAATGTGAGTAAAGACAATTATAATGTTACCAAAAAAATCTATAATAGTTCTTTTAAACTTTCTATTCATAAAAGAATCCTAAAAAATGTATCCCGGTTTGTACAACAATATTAAGCAGCAAAATAGCGGTGATAATACTTCTGTTCATAAGTTTACATGCATTGCAGAATATGCAAAATATTAATAATTTTAAAAATAGGAGGGATCTCAAAACTTGCATGTTCTTTTTCTTTTTTTTTTTTTTCTTTTTTTTTTTTTTTTTTTTTTTAAGTACTGTCCTGATTAAGCCAAAACAAAATAACTGAACTGTTCTGAAGGTTACATTCCTTTGAATCTTAAAGGGGTCATGAACTGGCTTTTTTAATTATCTTATACTGTTGTCTGAGGTCCACTTATGACATTCGCGTGGTTTTTACATTCAAAAACATCAAAATCAATAAGTAATAGGCTACTTTCTACCCTGGTTTTGAGGCCTGCTGGAGAAACGCTGGTTTTTATGGCCGTGCCTTATTGAAGACTCAGAAGTAAACGCCCACTGCTGTGATTGGATAACAGTTTTGCATCGTAAACTACCTTTCTGTGTGTCTGTTTGACAAGCTACGTCCTTCATAGTTGGAGCCTTCTGTGACTTTAGACATGTGTGCATATTCAGGACATATCAAGCGATCTCTAACAAAGCAATAGTGACACAGTACAAATATATTTTACTCGCATGAGTGTGCTGCGCCATTCCTGTCGGATCCAGTATAGATGGCACAGCATTGCTTTTTAATCTCATCGCTCAAACGAACGCTTTTTAAACAAACGCTCAATGTTTTACTCGCTTGACCTGGAACTTCATTAAAAGTAAAGTTCAAAAACGCATTCCTAATATTTGAATCCAAAGGAAGGTTATGCAGCGACTGTGTTCTTCCACAACCAGGCACTGCACAATATTTTGCGATCTGGTTGCTCGATCCGGTTTAGCGCCACTTACGTTATTTAACATCAAAATCAATAAGTAATAGGCTACTTTCTACCCTGGTTTTGAGGCTGGCTGGAGAAACGCTGGTTTTTATGGCCATGCCTTATTGAAGACTCAGAAGTAAACACCCACTGCTGTGATTGGATAACAGTTTTGCATCGTAAACTACCTTTCTGTGTCTGTTTGACAAGCTACGTCCTTCATAGTTGGAGCCTTCTGTGACTTTAGACATGTGTGCATATTCAGGACATATCAAGCGATCTCTAACAAAGCAATAGTGACACAGTACAAATATATTTTACTCGCATAAGTGTGCTGCGCCATTCCTGTCGGATCCAGTATAGATGGCACAGCATTGCTTTTTAATCTCATCGCTCAAACGAACGCTTTTTAAACAAACGCTCAATGTTTTACTCGCTTGACCTGGAACTTCATTAAAAGTAAAGTTCAAAAACGCATTCCTAATATTTGAATCCAAAGGAAGGTTATGCAGCGACTGTGTTCTTCCACAACCAGGCACTGCACAATATTTTGCGATCTGGTTGCTCGATCCGGTTTAGCGCCACTTACGTTATTTCCCTACTATGTCATGCGTGAATCAGTGGGCGGGGCTACAGAATTAGGCGTTGATGTTCTTCTGTGGAGGCGGAGTTTAATCTATCTATTACGTCATAGGGCAGGCACATTCCAGGATCTGGCGTACGCTGGGCCTGGTGTCAATAAAAGCTTTATTTCAGTAACAAGGACGTTTTCAGTTCTGAAACTTACAGGATATTCTTTAAGTACGATGACCTCTTATATATCAAACGCTCATGGACCTGGATGATCTTTTTTTTTTTTTTTTTTTTTTGTGATAGTTGTTGATGAGTCCCTTGTTTGTCCCCCACTGTTCTTCAGAAAAAAATCCTCCAGGTCCTGCATATATTCCTTGGTTTTCCAGCATCTTCTACATATTTGACCTCTTTCCAGCAATGACTGTATGATTTTGACATCTGTCTTTTCACACCGAGGACATTTCATGGACTCATCCACGACTATTTCAAATGGTGAAAGCATTCCCTGATGCTCAAGAATGAAACACAATGTATTAAGAGCTGGCTGATACAATGAAGAAAGTGACTGGAAGTGGACACAGCTGGGCTAAAAGAATTGGTCAAATATTACAGTACAATAAAATTATTTTTAAGGCCATACAGTAGTTTGAGGAACAGAATGAAATTTAAATTATAGGTATTCAATTGCTTTAATTTAGCACCAGCCTACTGTTCATATCTCCACACTGCCAAATCGTCAATGTGCTACATGTTCATACTTGTGGAGGTTAATTTCTTGCTTTTTAAAATGTAGTGACAACTGTAACTACTCCCTCTTGTGGTTACAGTGAGATGCTGGAATCAAGAGGTCTTTAATCAATTGATGTAATACAATAACTGCAGTTGATTGTGCCACCATATTGTGCAATAATATCAGCTATTTCAATTCTTACTTTAGCATTTTCCTATTTTTTTTTTTCCAACAAGGCAGTACATGCTCTTTAATGTGTAATGTTATAATCTCTCAAGGATGCTGAAAGAACAGAGACGGGATCACCAAAAGCAAAAGCAGGAGGAAAGAAGGACAGAAAGAAGAATCAGCAGGGGAAGGACAAACGAGTCACTGTATCTCTCAAAGACTTCCAGCAGGAGGGTGGCGTGGGTGAGAATGCTGGGGTCTTCTCATCAGAGACAAATCGCTGTTACTGTACTGCTGTTCTGACTGACTCTCTCTATTACAGATCAGCTGAGCAAGAAGCCTGACAGAGAGGTGAGTGATTAATATGGACATACAAGCTCAGGCTGCTCTGAGGATCTGAAACACCCAGAGGGCCACAAGAGTGTACTTCAGAAAATTTGAAGGAAAAAGAGTTTTACAACATGTATTTTTAGGGCTGTCAATGTGTTAACTTAAGATAATATGTTTAATGCATTAACAAAATGAATAAATTTGATGTACCATGTTCTAAAAACTAGTCTTGATAACTTTTTACTTAAAAAAAAAAAATTATAAATAAAGTTTATACATCTTATATTAATCTAATAATGAGTTTAAAAAAAGATAAATGTCCTCCAGATAATATTTCAATTATTAAATTTTATTAATTTAATATTTGATTTATTATTAACTTTCTTTGTATTTGGCACAATTATATACATTGTTTATAATTATTATACAAATCTTTTATAATATAATAAATGATAGAATTATGTATATTAATATATTGATTTTTTTTAAATATCTTAATTTTGGAAACGTTGTCTTTGTAAAATCTAATTACTCTATATAAATCTTACATAGTGTTATCGTAGTATTATTTTTGTACTGTTTTAGTATTTATTAATATTTTTAATTAGTTTTTTGTATATTTTAATTTAAGTTTTATTAATTTTATTTTTATTAGCTTTTGTCTTTTTTATTTCTGTTTTATTTTTATATTTCTATTTAGCCTAAATTAATATTGACGTTTTAGTAATTTAGCAATAGTACTTCAGCTTAAAGGGATAGTTCACCCAAAAATGAAAATTACCCCATGATTTACTCACCCTCAAGCCATCCTAGGTGTGTATTAGGGATGTGTCACTATTTTCGAGTATTCGATTAGTTGATTTAATTATAGAATATCGAATAGGTTGTGCGATTATTGTCTTAAAAAATCTCCCCATGTTTTCCGTGCTGATGCGGTGGTGATGTGTTCATGTAAGCAGAGGGTGGCGCTGCCAATAACGCACCTAAAAGCTGTCAAAGACAACAGAAGAACACATTCTCACGTGCGCACGGTAGACTTGCGTGGTATTAAAAAAAGACTTGCGTAGCATATAACGGTTACAGTAAATTGGGACGATGTCAAATAAGAGTTCTGTGCGGACCGCAAACACCCCCGACTGGGTTAGAGATGTGGCTGAATCCATATTCAGAAAGGCGCGGAAAACAAATAACGCGTTCTACGGAGCCAGTATTGGCGCTTTTCCACTGCATGGTATGGCTCGGTACGGTTCACTTTTAGGGGGTTTTCCACTGGGTACAGTACCTGGTACTTTTTTTTTTAGTACCACGTCGGTTGAGGTTCCAAGTGAACCGTACCGTTACCAAAACGTGACGTGTAAACTCTGCTGATCACTGATTGGCCGGAGAGAATCGTCACTAACTACGTCACTGAACTTGCGCCACAAACTAGAGGTCTGCATGGGCTTTAAATTGAAGCCCGAACCCGGCCCTAACTGACGAAAATGACCATAATTTGCACGATGGAAGAATTATCGTCTTGTCGTATACAACCATTCAAAAAATCGGTAAAATGTATGTGACGTGTAAACTCTGCTGATCACTGATTGGCCGGAGAGAATCGTCACTAACTACGTCACTGAACTTGTGCCACAAACTAGAGGTCTGCATGGGCTTTAAATTGAAGCCCGAACCCGGCCCCTACCCGAAATCGTCTGACCCGACCCGAACGGCACAGTTAAATTTAGAGCCTGAACCCGAAATTTGTAATTTTTTTTCCCCCACAACGAATAGCCAATTAAAAAAAAAAAAAGCTGTATTTCACGATTGCATGCAACGGTCAGTAAACAAATACATGTAAAGAAACAGAATCATTAAGGCTTGGCCAGTTCACAAGGCAAAATAAAAAACACTTTATTACCAGTTATGAAAGTTTATGAACATCAGGTGCAGCGGTCACATACATTTTACCGATTTTTTGAATGGTTGTATACGACAAGACGATAATTCTTCCATCGTGCAAATTATGGTCATTTTCGTCAGTTAGGCTCGTTAGCATTCGGCCTGCTTTAAATCAGACACAGAGATGCAGTGCGGTAAGATTGCATTTATTTGAATTAATTAATTATATAATTTGAATTAGCGAGAGAGAGGGCTGAAAGTTGCGTGTGTGAACCTGCGTCTCTCTCTCTACAAGCAACGAGGCTTAGTTCCTTCAAAAACAGCAATTTTACCCCCTCATTGCAGAGAAATATAACGTTGCGAGTCAGTAGCCTGTCGAAGCTATTTTACTAATAAAAGTTTCCGTGCTGTGTTGTCGTGTGCAATAATGTGCAGTAATGTGTGTGCGTCTGAAAGCAGCGTAGCCTAGCCTACTACATATAGTTTTAGTTTAGCTATAATCCCGAACCCGAAGCTATTCATTAAACATTAACCCGACCCGAAACCCTAAAGTATTTCTGGATAGCAGACCTCTACCACAAACACAACAGAACCGCTAGATTTAAATCAGCAAGTCAGCGAAGGATCGAACGCAACTGTTTTGAATGAGCGCACCTTTTTTTAACAACCAAAATGTGGCTGTTTCGTTGTCTGTTGAGGAAGTAGACGTTCCTCTCGTTGATAGCAGAGGAGCGGATCCAGCGAGAGCTTGATGGGGCGACGTGGAATCAAAAAGTTTTTCAGGAGTTGCGGCAGTAGAGGCGGCACAACTATAATGACATGTGAATAATCCTGCCTGCTCTAAAGCGGTACTGAACTGCAGTGGAAACGCAAACCGAGCCGTGCCGTACTGAGCCGTGCCGAGCCGAGTCGTACCACACAGTGGAAAAGCGCCATAAAGGGAAATGGTTAGCCGCCTGCTAACGGTAGCCTGTTACATTACAGTACATAGCATTTTACTTACCACAAAAACAGAGTAAAGAGAGATGGCTGATAGGATGATGGCGAATGATTAGCAGATCCTGAGCACTACTGACAAACATCTAATCTTGTAAAATGTGTGGTAAGTACTGCAGAGTGCTGCTCCGTACGTACGTGTGATCACGAATCTCGAAAGTGAAAGTAAAAAAACAAGCGCGAGTTCAAAAGCGATTTCAATGTCCCCGCATATTAATAACGGCTCCCTGATGCCCGCAGTTTATATACATTATAATTACCCAACGATATAATTTCGACAGAAGATAATGAAGTATAAGAAGAGTTTGGTTCCAAAACGCTATAAATCTTTAAATATAAAGTTTTCTTTACCAAGAAAGTGGCAAGATAAATTAATTACAACAATAAAATAAAATTTCATCATGAACATACATAAACAACTATCACATTAAAATACAGAAATTCCAAAATGACATTTCCCTTACATTCACCTTCCAAAAGTGCATTCATCTTTGCCATGTTACATTCATTTAGTTGACTAGTACTATACGCTGTATTAACAAAAACATTAATGGCATAAATAAAAACACTTACACTGACAAGCTACGCAATATCGCGTTCATAATCGAATGCAACTCATCTGCGATTTATCGTGCAGCCCTAAGTTTGTTTGTTGATCACAAAGTACAAAATAGATGAGGAAAACTAGGATGCCGGGTGAATTCATTACTGTCTACAGTGCGTAGAATGGTGCGCTGTGATTGGTTGAGAGGCTATATCGCATTCTGCAGCGAAGGGAGACTGGCGTTTGTCGCGGTTTGGAAAGAAAGAGAGAAAACATGACAGAATAACTCGGCGGATATCGGATTTTGCGTAAAATAAAAAATTTACTTTTCAATACCGACCCGATGCAATACTGATTTTGGCGGAAACGTTTCATATTTTTCCTCCCATTTCATATCTATCCCCTTTAGGGGTTCCATTTTTTAAATGGAAATCTCCTAGCCTTATGAGCAGTTAATTTATGCTAATCGACGGACTTATTTTAATAAGTGCCGTCATTCGTTTGTGTTTATTATATTAATATGTTTCAGCACGTTACAATCATTATATGGCTTGCGTTAAGGTAGCCTATCTTCTGAGTTAAACAGTTTATCATACAGATTGAAAGTGTGAATCCCATCTCTCTCCGTTTATGGGTGTTTGCGTGTGCATGCGATTTTCGAATAATACCCTGCGATTTTCGAATTCTAACTTTGAAACTTTATCCCATACCTAGTGTGTATGACTTTCTTCTTTCAGACGAATACAATCGTATTTAAAACTTTATAAACCGTAATCTGTAGCTTCCGTTAACGGTTGTAAGCAGATGCTAGAGAGTAGCATCCGGCGGATGAGGTAGGACTTGGGTGTAGTTTTGTTTACAGCAAAGGAAAACCAGTCTCCTCATGGCTTATATCGAAATCCTCCAACGTTTTTCTTTAAAATCCTCTTTTTGTACTTCTAATTCGTGACCAGTGTTTTGTTTTGCTCTCTCCGCTGCGCTTTCGTGTTCGTCACTTCTCACCGGAGCTTATGCTACACATACGTCCTACATCAGCCGCTGGAACGCCACTCTCTTGTGAACGCGCACTCTAGTGGAAGCTAGAGATTACGGTTTATCAAGTTTTACATATGGATATTTTTCATACACAAATGCATCGATTTGCTCCAGAAGGCCTTTATTAATCCTCCGGATATGGCAAAAAAATAAAATCTAATAAAAATCTTCACTGCCATTATACAGCTTGGAAGAGCCAGAACATTATTTAATATAACTCTGATTGTTTTCGTCTGAAAGAAGAAAGTCATAAACACACAGGATGAGTAAATCATGGGTAAATTTTCATTTTTGGGTGAACTATCCCTTTAAACTTACTTTATTTCACTTACTTGCCAAGGCAACATTTCTTATTATCATTTAAGTTTTTCATGTAATATTTCTTTTATTTTATTTCAACTTTATTTTAGTTAATAAAAATGCATTTTAGGTTAGAATTAGAGTTTTTATTTTCTATGAGCACTTTATGGAATCCTGTTGACTTGTATGCTTTTACTATAACTATTCCTCCTTCTAACTTTGAAACTTTATTATTGCTATAATTTTTTAAATCATATATTCCTCATTTGTAAGTCGCTTTGCATAAAAGCCGCTGCTAAATGAATAAATGTAGATGTAATAGTTTTAGCTTTAATTAACAATAACAACACTAGTATACAGTGGGTACGGAAAGTATTCAGACCCCCTTAAATTTTTCACTCTTTGTTATATTGCAGCCCAAGGCTGATTTAGATTTTTATCAGTGTTTGTCATAAGAAAATACATTTTGGATTATTAAGGTGATAAATAACTGTTGTGATGGTTTTGATGTTCTGCTGGAATGTATTTTTTACTAATGCTAAATTAACAACTCGCTGTGATTTAAAGGGCTCTATTTATTATGCTCTTTTACAAAGTCGTATTTGCCTTTTTTTTGGAGGTGTACTAGAACATGCTCTCATGCTTGGTGGTTCGAAAAACACATTATTTTTCACATAATTTACATTATTAAAATATTTTCTCCCCATCCTGGCACAAACAGCTCGATTAGTTCTGGCTTTGATGAAGGTCCGCCTTTTCTCTGATGCAGCAGCTCTTCTTCTTCGTTTTCTCTGATGCACTAACTCAACCAAGCGTTCTAACCACGACTTCACCCCTCCCCACCTCCCAACCATTCGAATTTCTGTAGGGGGGAATTATTTATAATGATATTCCAATGAGCCGCTTTGTGACATCACAAAGCCCGGAAAACAAATGCTGTAGTCCAAACGAGCCGTTCGTTGTAGTTCTTGAAAAGGGATTTAAAAAACGAAATATCTCCCTTTGGAGTGGACTTTTGAGATGTGTAACTTTCTAGATCTTTTTTTTATGCCCAAACATACACACTACACACTGACTAAAATTAAAAAAGTGAAAAAGCATAATAGGACCCCGTTAAGATTTCAGCATGTTTGTGTTTACTAATTGTCTTTTTTTTCAGGAACGATATAAGGAAGTGAAGGCCAGAAACGCTCAGCTGCTTAAAATGCTTCAACAGGGAGAGAGTGAGTGCAGAATATCATACAAACCTGACATACTGCAGCCTAGCATTCATTCTTGGTATTTATTCAGCTTTCTTTATATTCAGTGAAGGACAAAGCTGAAATTCTGCTGCAGGTGGAGGAGCTCCAGAACATTAAAGAAGAGCTGTCCTCACAGGTGTGTGTCTGCACATCCACTCATTCACTGGATAGACCAGCTTTAGCCTCAATCATAGTGCTGTGTTGCGGTGATATTTTTGTGGAACAAAATGTGTTTCCTCTTTCCAGGTGACACAATTACACACATCTCTGGAGCAAGAGAGGTCAAAAGTGAAGGGCCTACAGTCAGAGCAACCGAAACATCAGGTACGAAACATCCAAACCTGCTGGGACTATCACAATGACAGAGAATTTGTATTTAAATCAGCATATATATATGTATGCATGTGTATGCGTGTGTGTGTGTGTGTGTGTATATATATATATATATATATATATATGTATGTATTTTTTTTTTATACAGTTCCTACATGCGCATCGCTGGCTGTGCTCCCTCCTCCATCAGCTGTAGCTGATGCGGCCCTTAAACGGGTGCCAAGGGCCACAGCCTGGAGAAGAAAGAAGGAGAATTTGTATTTAAATCAGCATATATATATGTATGCATGTGTATGCATGTGTATGCGTGTGTGTGTGTGTGTGTGTGTGTGTGTGTGTGTATATATATATATATGTATGTATTTTTTATTTTTTTTAATGAGCATAACATTGGTTCAGTTAAAGAAATCTTACAGCAAAAAACAAACATGACATCACCAAAATCTTAATTATGTTTTTTGTATTTTGTGTTTTGCAGGGGAACCGGAAGGGTAAAAAAGCATCAGACGGGGACGGATGAAGATTCATGTTAGAGGACAGACAGCTTGAATGTTTCACCTCCTTTGTCAAGCTGCTAATGCCTTTAATGTCTGTTCGAAACACCACACACTCTTAACCGAACTACCACCGTCACACACGTACTCCTGCTTATTGCTGCATACTTCTGTCACCCTGATCACAGTGACTCGTGAGAGGAACCGAAGTTCTGCTTCTACCCTTAAATCCACTTCTGTTCTCTGCACTATGAATCCAAGGCATACAATCCTGAGTTCTTTTCAATAAAGATGCTAATCTACTTTTTCAAAGTGTGTTGGTTGTTTATGCATGAAACTGACTGTTATTTCATTCTCGCCAAGTATCTTTTTAAGTAATGAATGTATTCACAGTGTTCAGTCCATTTACTTCAGTCAATAAATCCATAATATTCAGAGCAGGAAATACTTGATGACGAAAGCACTGATTAAATTAAGAGGTTATGCTTGAAATTGACACATCTTGTCACTTTACATCTGATCTAGTTACACTTTATATGTTCATATGCCTAGGGATTAAGATACATTTTTGGTACTTTAAAGGCACTGAAAATACAATGCATTTGCACATTGTCAATGTTTTTAAATGTCTTAATGGAGGTTAAACTATAAACATACATGGAAAAGTATGCTTAAAGTAATACTTCTGTTAAGGTAATAACCGGCAGTTACAACAGTTGTTACAGCGATACAATTATGCTGACTTAATGTTAACCATAAAATCATGAAATTACAAATCCTGTATAAATGTATCCTTTTTAATGTTATATATTTGTTTACTTTTTAAAATCATTTTACTAATAATAATACTTTTTTTTTTTTATTATTATTTGCTATATTTTTTTTAAAGTATGAGATATATGTATACATGTGTACATATTCTATGAGTGTTTTAAAATTAAAAAAATAATGTTAGATTTATTTCATTAGTGACAATTTGATGTCCAATCAAAATTGTCGTTTTGGATGCATTACACACATTAGCCTACAAAAGGACTTTAGAAAGCTGCTTAAGAAAAACAAATAGTGCATATTTCATTAATGTTCATTTGTGTTTCACATAATATCAGACAGGCTGTTAGCCTGTGCATCAGTGTTGGACATGTTTCTGCAGGTTACATCGCTGCGCCAGTAGGTGGCGACAAATCTTACGAATGATTCATTTAACGCATTCTTCGCATTTTTACTTGCATATTCGGACGCTGGCATTGGCTAAAATTCAGAAATGTTCAGGATTAATTGATAAGGATTTAAAAAAAAAAATTTTTTTTTTTTTTACAAAACCTTTCATAATGCAATTTCATAGGCTGTAGAAATGTCCATGACATTTTCAGATCTATTTATTTTCGTATTTGTTATTTTAGGTCTAAAAAAAAAAAATCACACTTAAAAATTGTAGGTTTTCTATGATCGTGGTTATCATTATTAGTTATTTAATATGCAGCAACATGCATAACTAAACACTCCTATATTTGACAGCAGAACTAAACATACTACTTCACATTTTGTTGCCACAGTGAAACAAACAAACAACCAAATAAATACTTTAAAAGCTCGATCCCATCTGAATTTAGTATGGTTTTGCAGTAGCACAAATAGTAGGCTTAGTAGTAACTATTCAACTGAGGCGGAGACCGTACTGTAACTCGCGTTGTTATGGCAACACACGGTGTGCTGCTGGCTCCAGGTGAAGCTGCTGATGCGACTGAACTGATGGAGGGAGGCAGCGCGAGCGCGTGTGTGTTCGGGACGAAGAGAGGGAGAGAGAAGCAAAAAGGGGGATCGTTCTCCCGGTCCTATAACGCCGCATCTCTCTTTCCTCCTCTCCACTGGCGGCTTAAGCGACGCGTAACCCACACCCCGTGCTCCTCTCCCAAACCAAAGGCGCTTTTTTGCTTTGCTATGCGGAACCAAGAGCCATGAAAATGCTTCGATTCCGGAGTCCGAGCGTCTCCTCCCTCGCGCAGGAGGTCCAGTGCACGGTTCGGCTGCTCGACGACTCCGAAATCTCGTGCAGCATCCAGGTAAGGCGCGTGTGCGCCAGTGCGACGATTAGCTGGCATAACGCGTATTATCAACACATGGTGTTAAACGGAGAGGTTCTCGTTGGCTGGCCTCTGTAAGGTGTATCCTCGCGCGTGTTTGGGCAGAATGCGCCTCGGGGGTGATGATGAGGCTTTGCTCGTTTCATTATCGCATGTTAAACAGTTACGCCCTTGACTTGCTTTGTAGCCTACTCGAGAAAGATGCATGTGCAAAATGCGGTTCGTCTATAAATAGCAGAATTGCGCAAAATAGAATTACTGGAAGCCTGCTGTCACTGTGCGTAATTTCATTTGCAGTGTCTTGTAGCGGTTTTGGGAACGGAGAGCATGATGCAAGGCGTCCGTGTGTCTCGTGCGCGGATGTAGATTTACCTTCTTTCTTTTCCAAGAGATGAGAGATTGCTGGACTAAAGTCTGTGATGGACACCAGTTTGCTGTGGGACCTGTTTGTTTCATCAGTAAAGTCAAGTCACTTTTATTTATATCTAGCACTTTTAACAACATGTTTTAGCCCTTGTGAATCCAGAGGTGTAAGGAGTACCTAAAAACCATACTCGAGTAAAAGTACAGATACCTTACAGTGAAAATTTCTCCACTACACGTTACAAGTCACCAACTCCAAAACAACTTGAGTAGAAGTCTTAGAGTGTCTGATTTTAACAGTACTTAAAGGGGTCATATGATGCTGCTAAAAA